TCCTCTGGGTCATTCATTCCTGTAGGACACTGCGGTTTTCCTCTGAACACCTCACTCCATCTGTAGTTATACTTTCACTGATGTGAAATAGCTATGAGCCACGATAGCAGAAGGCATTCCATTTGTGCTGTGCTATCAGGATGGACAAGATGCTTGGTAAATATTTACCTAATGAATGGTTGGAGGGACCAGAGTTACCTCCTGAAAAATTTAAAAATTAGTGGAATTTTTGTTTTGTTTTGTTCTTAAAGAAAATAAAGCACTAAGAAAAATATAAACATACTCTAAGATGATGTGATTGTACAGTAAAATACAGGTCTTTCTTACTGGATATGAGGCCAGATTAAAGTGAGAATACAAATAGCTTTGGCTTCACTCTGTGCAGTTCAAGTTCGGGCTAAGAGGTAGAATTCCAGGTTAGGAGGAATAAGGAGAAAAGTGCCCTATAGTTGGGCAGTCAAGACTTGCGCTTTCTCTGGTAAATTGAGTTTCTATGACCTGGGGAAGGCAAGACTCAGACTAAGGAGGGTCTCTTATGCACAGTCACTTCCTAGACTTTGGGGAATAAGCGGAGAAAGGTCGGGTAACAGAAATGAAGAAATAAACAAAGGATACATTTATTCTAGTGAAAAAAATTATAAGCTTTGAAAGCCACAGGAGCTCCTTGAGATGTTTATGTAATTGAATATAATTTATCTGGCATTGAGAAGAATAATCCAAACATTTTTCACTCCAGTGCATCTGGAGGCATATGAAATTAAACTCTTGCTGGTGGCCTGTGCTTGGTAGTATCCTGAGTGTTTTAGTTTCAAACTAAAGAGAGACTATAGGCTGGAAAAAATGTGTTTTATAGAGCAGACATGGAGCACAAAATAGTAAATGAATTTTACTGTATTCAGAATGCCCAACTGTGTAACATCCTCCTTGTTTGGCAGGGAAAGAGCTCAGCATTTGGGAACTCAGCAGTGCATTAAATATTTTAATAATCATTGTTGACACGCAAAGCATATGGCCTTTCAGAACTCACTGGGTCAACTGCTGAAGTCGTCTTCTAGCTTTCTAAAATTAGCTTTCAAATTTCAAACAAAATGTAGGACACATTTCAAGCTATATTAATTAATGAGTTTTGTATTATAAGCAAGTGCTCTTCCTAAGATATAAGATTATCTGTGAGTGACTACTGTATGTGAAGGAAAAAATGAAATTCATATCCCTGACAAAAATGAATTTGCAATTAACTAGAAAGTCTGGAACCTCTGTGTAAGTAACTCTGTCTTAAAGTATATATTTGCTTTGTACCTCCTAGTCATGCTTTAAGACCCACCTCAAATATGCTCTCATCTCAGAAGACTTCGCCATTTCCTTATTGTTTTTGTCGTTTAGCTACGGCCACATATAAGCAACCTTAACATACAATGGTTTAGAGCAGCAAGGGTCGTTATTGCTCACAAAGATCTCTTTTGCTGGTCTCTTGGGTGGTCAGCTATGGGGCAGTCTCTGGTCTTAGTGGCGGGTGGCTAAGATTCCCCCTTCCCCATGCCTCTCGCCTGCATGTACCTCTCACACCTCTCCAGCTAGCCAGCTTGAGCATATCCTCATTGTCATTTCGGGAAGCAAAAAGAAAAAGTAGATTCATGCTAGCATTTTTTTTCCCAAGCTTCCAGTTTCATTACATTTATTAGCCTCCTGTTGGCCAAAGCAAACCATGTGGCCAAGCTCAGAGTCAGAGTAGGAGGAGACTATAAAGTGACAGGGCGAAGCACAGAGAAACAGGAAAGTTACTGTCATTAGTTAAATGCCCTCATCCTGCAGTGCCCCCTGCCATCAACAACAATTATTATTCCCTTGTTTGTGCCACCTCTGTTCCTTGCTCTTAGCTGTATTATTAGACCTTCCCCTTGTCTTATAATACCATTGCTAATATGACAGTCTTCCTTAAAGGATTATGGAGTCTGTGACAGTGAGCTCTCGTTCATAAATATTTGCTCCTTGCGTGTGGTCTTATTCCTTCACACACCAGGCACAGCACCGGGCTGCACAGAGACTAGGCACTCAGTGAACATGAGCCGAATGAGTGCACACGTGACAGTTTGTTTCCCCTGTGCATTGCCTCCCCTTTCAGGGGAAAACGTGGAGGACAGAGGCTTTTCAGGACGAGGAGATCTTCCTGGCCCCAGAAATTAGTGACCAGCTGGGGATTTGAAGTGGCAGTGCCAGCTGCCGACCACCTTTCCTTCTAGACTTCTAGTTCTCCCCTCCGGAACTCAGGTTTTCTCTCTTCTGTCTCCCTCTGCCTCTTTAAATAAGGTAGAAAACCCCTGATACCTAACTGTTTTAAACTCCTTCTGCAGCCATGGCTCCCACGTTCCTTAAACCAGAGCCCTCTAATCTACTCTGCAGTGGGGCGTGATCGAACTGCAGGATTATGTCAGCTGGTGGTGTGGCCAGTTGGAGAGGCACCTGTGGCTACTGTTCTGTAATCTTCCAGATCTATAGACAGAAATAGAGAGGAGTTAGGGAAAATGTTATATAGCTCTCCATTCTGTTCTTAGTCCAACAGGGTATGCATTCTATCATGTGCTGTTGGATGTGTGGCATCATGATTTTTCAGTTCCATAGTACCCTAAAGGGAAAACTTGTGTTTCTGGAGAGAATCATAGTTTTGAGTTTCTTGATTTTCCAAGAAGTACTGTCAGTTGCTTGGGACACTGTGTAACATGGCTTTGGAGCCAGGCAGGCCGATTTAGAGAGTCATTTCTGCCTGAAGTTACTTGCCTGATGAAACGTCTCATTTCTCTTCAGTAAGAGAAGGTAACCGTAGCACACAAAACAGAGTAATGTTGGTAGGAGGTAAGTATCAATTGTTAAATGGTTATTATATAGTGTCTTATAATTTTATAAACTGAATGTTAGTATTATTAGTGATAAAAAATTATTTTATTTTTCCATTTGTACAGGGGTAAAGCATTGTACTAATTGCGTAAGGTCATATCTACGTGGGTTTGATTACAGAAACTAAAAAGTATTCTCTAAATAATGAAAAAAAGAATAAGATAAGACTACAAGAGCAAGAAGCAATTTAAATATGTTCAGGGACCATTTTCATCTCCAGAATTAAGGATTATTTTAATGTTACATCATTGCCTTTTCTCTTTTACTTTCCTTTTTAGTTATATTTTAGGATTCCCTATTTTTAATGTTCATACAGAGATATCTTTAATTGAAATAATGAATAGTTTCTCTGATGTGCAAAACTATAATAGTACACAGGATCCTAATGAGATAATTAATAATGTGAAATAGGAAGTAAAGGGCTAAAGGTGTAGGGAAAGTGGGAAGGGTGGGGAAAGGTAATAAGGGAGAGGAAAAAAATACGAGAAACTGAAAAAATGGAAATAAAATGTTTGTAAATGGGGAGGGGAAGAGGGGGTGAAGGGAGGGCAGGGACAAGGGGGAAAAATGAGAATTAAGACCTATTATGTGAAGGTACAAGATCCCAATGATGAATGTAACTGTATTGTAAACCTAGACTGTACCAATAAACTTAAAAAAAATTAATGCATTTTATACCAAAGAGTCTACCTGTTTATTTTCATTAAAAAATCCTTTCTGAAGAAATTTAAAGATTATACATTAAGGCACATCTTTTGAAATAGCCTGAGAAAGTTCTTCATTCAGCAACAAGAGTGTATGTAGTACCTCTTTGTACTAGGTTACCAGGTGATGAAATGGTGAACAAGAACGACATTGTCCATGCCACCTGGTACCTTACAATGAAAGAGCTATTTCATGCAGTCACTGTTGCTTCAGCTCCCTGTTACCCACCCAGTATCTACAACTTCATGAATTATCTGAGACAAGCTAACATTTGAACTCAACAAGTTGCATGTGTTAAATATCCACAGTTTTTTCTATGTCCATCATACCTCAGTAGCGTGGTCTTGAAAAGAATTGACTGGCTTTCACTGACCAAAATATGGTATGATGACCCTTTGGCTTACAGGAAGGGGAAATTTTTTAAATTGAATTCAATTTATTGGTACATTCTAGATATACAGTACAGTTACATTCATTACTGACATCGTGTACCTTTACACGACAGGTCTTGGTTCTCATTTTTTTTCCCCTTGTCCTCACCGTCCCTTTACCTCCCTCCTCCCCTCCCCCCTTCAAGCACTTTAATTCCATTTTTACATTTTCTAATTTTTTTTCCTTTTTCCTTATTCCCCATTCCCTATAGGAAGGGGAAATTTTGACTTCACAATTTTTAAAGCAGTTGTATGAAATTTTAAAACTTTCTGTTTTATTAAAATATAATGCAAAGGTCTGATATTTATGAATTATTCTCTGGCCTTCCCTGAACTACTATATTGTTTAAGGATGGATGGAGGCCGACTGGTATATATTATTTAGTCATAAATAATTTATCAGTGGGGCTAGCTTTCAGACTGTGGCCCAAATTCCTTGAAGGGACATCCTAGGAATAGTTCTTAGAACAGCAGGAGGACATGAGTAGAAATACAGATGAACTCCAAATAAAGTCTACAGATTAGTAAATAGGATTATATCAGCACTAATCTCCTCATTTTACTAAATGTTATACCAGATGTGAACACTAAGGAAAGCTGGATGAAGGAGGGACAGGACATCAGCTTCCAAGCTCTGTAACAAGACCGTTGTGCAGACATTACGGCCTTGCATGCCATGTGGCTCCATACTTTTCCTCACTATGGCTACTTTGTAAAGGCCTTGAGAAGCCAGGAATTTTAACATTAGTCTAAGAATGTAATTATGATAGTAGGTCTGCTGTAAATCATAATGTTCAGTACTCTCATCTAGGTCCTCTGGAGGTAAAGAATGGGTATGGTGGGGTCTTCGCAGGTGCCTAGAATTTTCAAAGGTGTTTTCCTGTAGAAAATAGAAAAGCTCCACTTCTTCACCTCCAAATTTTGACTATGGAGGAGTTTGAAAGGTTCAGAGATTCCCCTTTCCTTCTATAGGTACAGACACAAGTACGCCTTGCAAAAAAAAATTTTGACAAACTGAAGATGGATGTGTGTCAAAAAGTGGATCTTCTCGGAGCGAGCAGATGCAACCTCTTATCTCACATGCTAGCAACATACCAGGTAACAAAGTGGTGTTTGTCACAAGGAAAGCAAGGTATATGGCTTAGTATCATGATGTGTGAGCTCAGAGAATGGTTCAGGCTTTGCAAAACTCTAAATACCTTTCTCATAATTGACTCCCCACATCTCTGCCATCTAGTCCTACATTTGAATCAAACTGAGCCCCATAGTAGCTGCCATTCCCTTGCACACACACAGTAATTCTCCGTTCCTCTGCATTTACCTTGAGGGTCCTTTCGACCTGGAAAGCCTCCCCTCCAAAAACAGTTGTGCTTTTCCAAATTCCACTCTTTTCGATATACTAAATGAAAAGTCCCACCCTTCAGTAAGCCTGGTCTGAGCTCACTTGGCATTGTACCTGTGTGTGTCACGTCAGACTTTGCTCTCTGACTGTCACTATTCAGGGCTTGCTTTTCATTTCCCCTAATAGCCTCTGAGTTCCTTCAGCAGTGTCCTTCTGCAGTGTGGGATGCTGAACGTTGAGTATTGTAGGGAATATGAACATTAGTAAAGACCATCCTTGTCCGCAAGTAGCTCAAAGCTTAGGGAAGAAATTAAAGACAGGAAGGTCTGACTATAATTCCTAACACTCTACAACAAGCAGGGCCCAACAAAAAATGCCAGTAAGGGTCGAAAGAGGGAGAAGTCAAATTAGTTGAGGGATCTCAGGGCGGGCAGGTTATTAGCATGTCAGGAAATCCCAATACTCGGGGAGACTAAGGCAAGAAAATCACATATTTGAGAAAATTAACAATGTAGCAAGGCCTTGTCTCAAAATCTTAAAGATAACAGGGCCGGGGATGTGGCGCCATATGAAGTTCATTCCCCAATTATGAAAGCAAACAAAAAGACTAAATTCGTGATTAGCCCTGGATTTTGGAGGACGGGTTGAAGGAGGCAAGGAGAGAAAGAAAGAGCAGGTCCTAGGGGTGGGAGCAACACAATCCATGGCAAGCATTTCATTTGGCTGAAATACAGGGTTATTTTATTTGGCGGTACAGTGGGCGCAGAAAGAAGTCCGAATTATATTTTTGAAGACCTTGAAATCAACAATAGGAGCACTTCTCTAAGGCCCAGGACTAGCACTGTGTTCGAAATGGTAATAGCTTTACCATCTCTCTTTACAGACCACGCTGCTCCACTTTTGGGAGAAAACGTCTCACACTATGGCAGCCATCCATGAGAGCTTCAAAGGCTATCAGCCGTATGAATTCACCACGCTAAAGGTATGAAAGCCAGAGAAGCCACTAGAGAATCTTCCTAGATGTCAAGTTTTGTTTATGTGAGAAGCAGTTTCCATCTCAGTGAACACCCTCGTTCCCGGAATGAGTTAGGTCTTGCCTAACTTGCAACTGTTAAAGAGAGAATTGTGCTCCTGGGAGGGTCTTATACACTGTGCCTGGATTGAGAACACACTGGGGTCCAAAAGACAGACTGAGCCTCGTTCCTGGGAGATGAAATGTGGTGAATGTAAGTCTTAGGATGGTCCTCTCCTTTAAAGTACAGTTTTTTAACATCGCTGAAGAAAATATTGTCCAACTGTACCATATATTCAACTTATTTTGTGTTTGTTTTTGCATCATTAGGGATCAATACCAGGGCCTTGCTCCTGCTAGGCAAGTGCTCTACCACTTCGCCACACCCTCCAGCTCTACTTTTTAAGGATTGTATTCAAATACACTCCCTACAGATTGCTCTTCTCCCTTACTTCTGAAAAATAGTCCAACACGAAATTGGCTTCTCCCAATAAGGCTGTAATAATATTTTCTAATTGAAAAGGCAACATTAAACTCAAGGGCCTCCAATCTGAGAAGGGAACAAGAAATACAAGCGCGGTATCTGATTCTTGGTGTTGCAAATGAATTGGAATTATTTTTCTCTCTGATGTGCACTGGAGACTAATGTGTATCAAGGTAAGGAAGTGACTTGGGTTCAAGAGGATTTGAGGGATGCAGAGAAGACAGTAGGTGCTTGCTGCCCGGTCACATCTTTGAACACAATGCATCAGGCAAGACCTAACTCAAGTTCATCTTGAAATCATCTTGCTTGTAATTTTTCAGGCACTTTGTGCCTTCTCACCATTCTTGAAAAACATAAAAATACTAAAAAGCTACTTTTTTGCCTTAAAATATGTCTGATTTTAAAATGTTGATAATGTCATCGCATCTATTAAAATACTGAGACCGAACATTTGTTGGCCTGACCTTAAAATGAAGGTCCCAGAGGGACCCAGGGGAATCCACTCACCCTGCTGGCCCTGACCTGGTCCTCATGGTTCCTCCCCGTCCTGCCACCCTCGCATCGGCACTCACTGACGTGCCCCGTGGTAAATGCATTCAGAACATGCACTTTGTTCTGTGCTGTCAACTGTAAGCATGTAGTGGGAGGGACCGTTTCCTTCTTCCGAATCCTCCTTGGATGTCTTCTGTGGAATCCTCCTAATGCTCTGTGCCCAGATAGCCAGCAGCCTTCCTGTGTCGCACTAGCTCTGCTGCTGTAATTGGCAGAGGCTTCATTTCTTCCCCACGATCTACTGCTGCTTTCAGCATCTTTGTAGGTAGCTATCCTGACAAAGGTGGCTTGGTTACAGTTAACACTCACGTGATTCACAGTGCCCAAGCCGAAGGGTGACCCTTCCATAAAACAAATTCAGGACATCCAGTTTTATTTCATATACAACACCACATGTTATCTGTCTTTGGAAAGACAGCTGTCCACAATATAAATTTGCCAACTGAAAGATGAAATAGGGCTTTCCCAAAATACAGTTCAAAGGAATTTCATATTTGAGTCAATTGCTTGTAAGTACGGCTTGAATTCATGACATTGAAGTTATTCCACAAGTATCCCTGGCCTCCTGTGCTGAAGAAAATATGGCTCCTTCATTTTTTGCCATGCTGTTTGCCCTGCAGAGAGAATCAAGCTTATTATTTTAGAGGATTTCTGGACAGAGAATTTAGCAAAAATTTGGTAGCCATGCATGGTTCAGGACATAATTACAAATACTTTGGGCAGATGACTCCCCGTTACCTTTTATATCCCCAGAGCCTTCCTTAAATTAGGGTTTAAGTAATACTTCATTGCTTAATTGTAATATAATCTTAGTAGACATAATACATCTGTTAAAGTATAATGATGTTTATAGTAATATGAAAAATAAGTAGGGCCGGGAATTTGGCTCAGCGGTTCTGCCACCTGCCTTGGAAGAGGAAGGACCCGAGTTTGAGTCCCAGTACCAAAAATAAATAGTAATTGTCCAGAAACCAACCAAACCATTTTTATTACCTCTCCAGAATACTACTTATCTAGACTTTCAATCATGACAAATTAGAATCTCAAGCTGGCCGGGCATGATGGCGCATGCCTGTAATCCCAGCACTCAGGAGGCTGAGGCAGGAGGATCACTGTGAGTTCGAGACCAGCCTGGACTACATAGTGAGTTTCAGGTCAATCTCAACTACGTAGTGAGACCCTGTCTCAAAAAAACCAAAAAGAAAAAAAAAATTCAAGCTAATAGCTAATTATTTTATTTTTTTATTTTACTTTGTGTAATAGAATTCTGTTATACACAGTTCATTATTATTTTATAGATAGAAGTACTTGAATATCAAATTTTATGCCACAAAACATGAAAATGAAAACCATTAACACCTTCTGTGTCACAGTCAATTATGAGGATTTTGTTTGATTACCCATCCCTCTTGCCCCAATATTTTCAAAATTACATGTCTTATAATTATAAGATCTTTATTTTATCAAATCACCTTTTAACATGTGTGTGTGTGTGTGTGTGTGTATAATTTTTAATTGGCACTGTGTATTGATAACCTGTGTTTTATTTTATTTTATCAAATCACCTTTTAACATGTGTGTGTGTGTGTGTGTGTGTGTGTATAATTTTTAATTGGCACTGTGTATTGATAACCTGTGTTTTGAAATTTAAATAGATGTTTTTACAATTAATTTGTTCTCTGGGTTTACCTAACCAAATAGCCCCCTTAAATGCCTTTTGGGACTTGGACTAGAAAGAAAACATTGTCTTTGCGAGGGTTGCCAAGCTCTGTTAATGAAAAGCAAGCCATTTGTTTTCTTTGCTTCAGGGTATATTCTGAGTGTGTTGGTAATTTTGCCAGTGCAACTGTATTTCCTGACTGTTAGTTTTATGCTTGATGGAGGATGGTAATTAATGTGTTAAACACTTGGTGCGTCCTGTTTGGAAGGAAGACTCCTTTGCTGCAGTATTATATCAGGGGTATAACTCAGGAAATTCAAAGTTTGACTTCTAATAAATCTTTCTCTAAGAAATACCTGATACCTTTTTGACAAAAGAATTTTGGTATAAAAGTAAGGTGAATCTGTGCCTCGTTCAATTTGAAAAAATATCCTAGTGACTATTTTGTGGTAATACTTTATGGAACAAAGCTATTGCTTTTTTTTTTTTTTTTTTTTTTT